GGTTGGATATTAGGGAAAACTTGCTCATGAGGAGGGTAGTAAAGCACGGGGACAGGCTGCCCAGAGAGGTGGTGCAGTCTCCATCCGCGGAGGTGTTTAAAGACAAAGCCTTGTCTGGGATGATGTAGTTGGGGCTGGTCCTGCTCTGAGCAGGGGTGGACTAGGAGTGACCTCCTGGGGTCCCTTCCAGCCTCCTTGTCAGTGATCCTGTGCTTCTGTGAAAGGGGCATTTGGTCCTGAACTGAGCGCAAGTCCCTGAGCCACAGCCTGCAACCACCAGCCACGTGTTTGGCTCAGCCCTGGCACTGCAGGGAGTGGGGAGGGCAGCTCCCAGAGACCACCAGCTCCTCTGAGGCTCCAGGAGCAGCTCTGGGGGCATCGGGAGCCTCGGGAGCAGCTGCCACCCTCTCGTGCTGCAGGTGGTCAGTGCTGCCGCACGGTGGGAGCGGGGGAAGAAGAGGCCAGGCCAGGCTGCTCTGTGGCCCGTGTCCCTGCCAGGCTGCGGAGGCGCAGTCAAAGCACGGCTGGCTCTCGAGAGCCCGAATACAGGATGGCTCTGGGCCCCCCAGAGCAGCCCCAAGGAGGGAGAGGAGAAATCGGGAACCAGCCGCCAGCTACAGCTCTGCTCCTCTGCTCCATCGCAAATGAGAGCAGCCTCCAGGCTACTGTCCCTTGCACTAGTCGGAGAGACCCAGAGCACTGTGGACTGTAGCTAATACCCCTGGCTTTCCCCTCCATACCCACTGTCCCTTGCATCACAGGCTGGAGGAAGGGCAAGTGAGTCCCACCAAATCCACTGTCCCTGCTCCCACTGGTGACTTTCCCACCTGGGGACCCCCAAGCAGGAAACTAGCAGGGGCGTCTGCTCCCCTTGCATGGCCTAAGCCGCTCCGCGGCCACGGACCTGCCCCACGGTGCACCCTGCAGGCTCTGACCACAGGCTGGGCAGATGGACAACCCTGCTCCAGACCGCCGTCTCTCAGCAGGCAGCTGCCGGCCCGCCGAGACCAAAGCTACGTGGTCCTTTGATCAGGCAGCCCCAGAGCTAGGGGTCGAGCAGATCAGTGCTCAGGCTCCAGGCTCTCCTCCAAGCCCCAGCAACACCTGCTGTTTAATGCCGGACAAGCTGCTTCATCTCTGCGCTCAGCCTCTGCCGCCTGGACTCAGGACCGTGGTAGGGCTGGTGGGGTCTACAGGTGACAGGATGGTGAGAGCAGTGATCAGTCACCAGCAAAATGGAGACACAACCCTCAGGCCGTGCCTCGGCCCCCGGTACGTTTGTGAGGTGAGAATCAGGCAGGTCCAAGCCAGGAGCGCTCAGAGGAGCGTCTGGATGAAGGGCACCAAAATCCCAAGCATCCTGCTGCCTGGGCGCTTCCCCTGCAGGCAGGAACGGGCAGGAAGGGGTGTTTTCAGCACTCGCGGATTTTAAATAGAACAAAGTTGCCTCATTACTAGGGAAAAAAAATGCTAGGCTAATTTAGCACAAAATCATTATTTAATGCAAAGTAAATAGGAAAAAGGCTTTTTTTTCCTTTTTTTTCTGGTGCTGAAATTTACAGTTGTGAGAAGAGCCAGAGCGCTGCGGAGCGGGGCATCGCGGGGTGACATTTACAGGGATCAGCTTTCATTGCAGCTTGAAAAAATCCCATGCACAGAGATTATCTCCGCACTGATCTGGATTGTCTTGTTCAGCTTTGGCCCTCATCCTAGATGGACAATGAGCAGAGAACTTGGCCAACGTCCTGAGGTCGGCGGCCCCCACTGCATGAGCTGGGAAATAGGAGAAGGGATCTTCAAGGCACTTGAGAACGCGCAGCTTTAACGCGCTGGGGTCCAGAGACGGGAGGCGGCAGCTTGACGTGGGGTTTGAGCCCGGATGCCTGAGGCAGGACCAGGGCCGAGGTGACCCGAAGCAGGGAGAGACAGAAATCAGCAGTCCCTCCACGCTGGGACTGCTCGCGATTACAGCTTGTGCTGAGGCCAGAAAGAATAAACTGGTGCAAGAAGAGTCGTGGCCCACGGGGACATGGGCTCAGCCCAGCAGCTGAGGGTCCTTCTGCATTTGCAAGTGCTGGTGCACAGCGGGATGGATGTGGGTCACTGGCGCTCAGCAAAGCTGGGCCACACCGCTGGTGCGAGGCAGGGCAAGAGGCCGCGGGGGAGGCGCGTTCTTCTGCCCCACTCGGTCGCCCGGCTCCAGGCAGCGTTTCTGCCCCGTGCAATGCAGCGGGGAACGTGGCAGTCTAACCCGCGTGAGCAGAGGCCCGCTCGGGGCACGCAGCTCAGCCCCCGGGAAGCAGCCGCGGCTGCATCATCGACTCTGCCGTCAGAGAAGTTCCAGCCGGACGCTGTCTGGAGACCTTCCAACGACCACGGGCTCTCCCCCGGCCCATCACTGCCACGGCACAGACGGGATTTAATGTATGTCTGCATGTTCGCCTAACCTTTCCCCTCGCCTCTCGTTTGAAAAGGAAGAAGGGGAGAAACCAGGCCTAGGGTCCGTGCACGTGCAGCTGTGATAGAAACCTCTATCCCAAGCCTAAGGGGAGCGGATCCAAGGGCACGCGGGAGAGGAGAGGATCTTCCTGGGCAGAGACAAATGCTGTCTGTGTCTGGCCACGGTTAAGATGGAGGGGTGGCACCGTCGGTGCCCGAGCTGCCGCCGAGCCAGCAGGAGAGGGGCTGCTAGCGAGCGACGGGCCCCAGTCCCTCCCGCCCGGAGCTATGGTTTTTGGGGACAAGCCTCCCCTGGGGGTCTTCTTCAGCCTCGTCACCGTGCAGGTGACCGGGTGAGGCAGAGAAACAGCTCCACTTCCACTTCCTCTCCCCGCGCCTCGGTGCTCATTAGCTCTCGCAACACCAGCACCACTTGGCCGGCCAGGGCCCGGCAGGAGGGTTTTGGCAGCTGAGTGCGACCTCCCAGCATCGTTTGCAGCATGCACATGCGGCAGAGGCAGGGGGGAGCGGGGGCATTCAGGTCACTGCCGGGAGAGCCGAGCCACACGGCCTGTTTGGGATCTGAATTTCCTTACGGTGGCTGTGCAGGAGCCATTGCCAGTGAAAAGGCCCCGGTGCCTTTCCCTTTCCTCCCGCCGCAGCTCCAGCTTCCCGCGCGCAGGACGGCAGCAGTGGGGGCGCACGGACAAGTATCTGGCACTTGTGCCTCACGGCTGCTTCTTGCTCCCCCCGTGAAATGTCACCGCGCTCCCCAGGGGCAGAGAACAGCTGGGGTTTCGGACACATCAGCGGCACCGGGTTTCTCTTCCCACAGATTGTGTGTCGGAGGCGCAGGGCCGGCGGTGGGGAACCAGCCCCTCGGGAAGCACAGACAGGCAGGGCAAAGGGACAGGTCCGGTCTCCAGGCCACTGGGGTCGGAGGTGGGGGGACGGTTGCTTACGATAATAGCTCGTGTTCAGGCTAGAGCATCAATGGGTGCAAAAGGTCTTGTGTCCCGGGGGGCTGGGAAATGGAAAAAGCAGAAGAGATCTTTTGTGAAAGCTTGTCCAAGGGCTGGAGTCTGATTCCTTCTTCAGCGAAGGCCCCGTGATGATGCCGCGGTGTCAGAGATGGGAAGGGCAGCAGAGCAGACCCACAGCGCAGCACTGGCAGGGGTGGGATGGGGAGAGGTCCTGGCTTGGGGAGATGCTGGAGAAACCATCCAGGGACCGGGCCCTTGCGGGGCGAGGGGGGCAGCGCTGCAGGGACGCACTGTCCGTTCTCTTGCTGGAAACACCTGTGAATTCTGGCTGCCCTGAACTTGCTCCAAACTTTGGGGCAGCAGCCCAGAGACACGAAGGTGCCTACGAACCACCTCTGCAGACAACGGGGCTCAGAAACGCCACCTGCCCTGCGCTCCCTACGAGGTCCCAGGGACTGGGGGCGAGGAGGAATTAGCTCCTGCAGCCGATGCGGAGGGGAGACCAGCAGTGCTAAGGACACTGCCCCCCCCAAGCTGAAGGTGGGTGGGGAGAAGAAGCAGACCGTGCAGGATGAGGCCAGAGCCCAGTGCTAGCCGAAGGTGCAGGAGGGGCCGGGGTAGTGCATGCCAGGGTGGCGTGGGCCACGGTGGGCTGCTAGGGAAAGCAAGGAATAGACCTGCTGAAGGACACCGTGACCTTTTCTTCTCCTAATTCAACAGTAGGAAGACGGCCATCCCGCAGGGCCTGGGCCCCAGAGCTCTCTCAGCATCACGCAAGCCCCCCGGAGAGCAGACCTGGCTGGAGATCGACTGCACAAGCCAGCAGAGGCCATCAGGCAGCGGGCAGAGGGTCAAGGGCGCAGCCCCGTTGCGGAGAAGGCGTTTTGCAAAGGCTGGGCACAGGCCTCCTTCCTGCTTCTTGCAGACAGCAGCAGTAGGCCGGGGGGAGCAGGGGCCCCGGGGGCAGGCGGTCGCACAGGCAGGTCTAATTGTTTCCCCGCGTGACGGACGGCCTGCGCTGCCCTCCCGGCTCAGACCCCGAGAGAGAATCCTACCCGAGGGCAAAGGGAGGAGACTCAGGGAACGCCGAGCCACGCAGCTTTGTCCCTTCACCCAACATTTTGACTTCTCCACACCTCTCTGGTATGCGCGAGCTGGCCCCAGCGGCCAGCCTCCGGAGATGGTTCGACACCCAGGGCTGGCTGGGGCCTTCTGCGGATGTGGCTGTGCCCCCAGAGGCACGCAGGGCAGACCGAGCCCGTCTCCAGCGAGGACTTGGAGGGCTCGGGCTGGAACAAGCGGAAGTAGCTGCCGTGTACAACGCCAGGATACAAAGTGCCTAACACTAGGTGTGCTTTCCATGTCAGAGAGAGGCAGGTCGAAGCGCTCTGCGGCCAGCCGGTGGGAACTCGTCTGACGAGACACAGAGTCGGGGACAGGTGCCGTGAGGGTCCCTGTCCTGTCCCCAGCCCAGCAGCAGCATCCAGAGCACACATGTCCCTTGCAGCACGCGCCATCTAGAAGGACAGGCTCTGGCTTCAGCAATAAATAAAGCAGACAAACAAAAATACAACAAGGACTTTTTGGAAACTTTAAATATTTTTTTCTTTAAAAATCTGTTTTTCCTCTTGCGCTCTGTCTCTCTGAACGGCAGCCCTCTCCTGGCAGTCTCTGCATCCCTTTTCCCAGTCCGGAGGCAACAGGCAGGGGAGAGCGGGCGAGTGGCGGAGGGCGGCCGGGCGGGTCACCGGCACGTGTGCATTTCTACCACCCGGTGGCACTGTTTGCATTTCACAAAGCAGCACCAGTGGAACTTGCAGCTGCACCTCTCCACCACCTCCACCTCGTCCGTGTGGAAGCCCCTGCCGCAGCACATCAGCTCGCAGCCGTCAATGGCCTTGGAAGTCTTGTTGCACTGGCGGCCACTGGTGCCCAGGACCCCGTTCTTCAGGTCGTGGTCACAGAAGTCGGGGCTGGAGTCCAGGTAAACGAGATCCTCGTCAGTGTGCGGTTTGAACTGGGAGTTCTTCGGGACCAGGACCTTGGTGGAGCCGATCTCGCTCTGCTCCACTTCGGTGGCCCCGTCGAATTTCTCCTTCAGCACGTTGCCCACTTTGCGGAAGGGAGGCATCGCTTTCCAGCACGTCTTGAACTCGCAAGAGCCGGAGACGCCGTGACACTTGCACTCCACCCGCATGTTGTTCAGGATCGCCTGGAAGAGCGGACGCAAACAGAACAGACCGCCGTCAGCTCCGGAGCGTGCAACCCGCTGCACTAACGCACGCGACCGCGGCGGCCGGCGAGATCAGGAAGAGCGAGGCTGCTCCTGGCTACGAGGGGTATGGTTTTCACGGGAGCAGATGTCCCAGCAAAGGGTGCAGGGGCCATCGATCCTCGCGGGTAACGGGAGGAGCAGGGGGAGCGATCGCAAGCCAAGCCCGACAGCACGTGTGGACGCACTATTACCTTCCTCCCAGCCTCGTTGTTGTGCAGGTTCATGAGAGCTCGGTTGGAGGAGGCCCCTTTGCTCCTCTCCCTGACGTCGACAAAGGACTGCGAGAAGGCCACTCCGTAGGCAATGTTATCAGAGCAGCCCGACCACTGGAAGCCTAAAGCACAGCATGGGCGAGAAAGACTCGTTTGCAGCATCCGCGGGGGGAGAGGCAGAGGTGGGAGATGTGCGGGGAGGACTTCTACCTGAACGGCAGGTTTCTAGCTGTCCTCGTGGCCCATGCTGGAGCTGAGCCACTGCCCTTTGCATGTAATAGTCGCTGGAAAAACAGGGCAGGGCACTGCAGAAGTGCCAGCCGCACGGGGGGTGAGCGCGTGGGCAAGAAGAGCAGACCTGCCCCTCCCAGGGCAGCAGCCGTCCCATTGAGCTGCACACCCCTGCCCTGTTGCTTCCCTGGCCCCACATACCCTTCCCTCTCTTGGCTGCGCAGGGGGCCGGCTTCAGGAGGGGGCTGGAGGAGCTGCGGGGCAAGACCTGACCTGCAGTGCACTGGCTTGAGCACTGCATTAGGAAGTCAGTGAGATGCAGGCTTGGACCCCCCTGCATGGGGGCCCCTAAAACCCAGGTGTCTAGCATCTTGGGCAAACCCATAACCACTCAGCTACTGGGACCAAAACACGGCAGGCCCCCATATTCCTCCACCAGAGCCCAAGAGCTGCCCATCGAGGGTCTCTGGTTGCCCGTGCCTCCAGGGCTTGGACACAGGCAAGCGCCTGCAAGGAGGGTGCGTATGTCACCCAGTCACTGCCTGGTTGCTTCCATGCCCACCCTGAAGCAAGAGCCAGGGGAACGACCTTGGGCAGGCCGCACTGCATCCTCGCGCACGCTAGCCAGGCACCCGCGGGCACGGCCGCGCAGCTGGAGCTCTTCGCTCAGACGCACCCGGAGCCCCTGGCCGCGGGGCAGGGCACTGTAAAGAGGAAAGCACCCGGGGTGCTTCGGTCATAGGAGGACCTCTCAGGCAGGGCATGGCCCGGTACAAGGTCGGTTAATGCATCTCATGTCGTGTGACTGGAGGGGACAGGCAGCGGGGGACTGGAGAAGGGCATTTGTCTTTGCTCTTCCTCTCTTTCCTCTAACAAGCGGCAGGAACCCGAGGGCTGTCGTGGGGCACGGGACTCAGCCCAGGGAAGGCCTAGGCAATGCCGCGCTGTCTCTGCCCTCCCCTCCCCTCTCTCGTCTTGCTGCTGCACGTACGTACCCTGGGCACTGCCGCCATGCACAGTCCGGTCACAGCCGCACTTGTCCAGCTCTCCACTGCTGCAAGCCCGAGTCACCGCGAAGGCCACGCCTGCGGAGGAGATGGCATACACAAAAGCTGCTTCCCGCGTCCCTGCAAGGACAAAAGCAGGGGAATCACCGGCATGTCCCCATGCACAGCCCGGGCCTCCAGGCACCAGACTGCACCCCCTGTATCAGAGCAATAGCGCTGCCCGGTTCAGAGCAACGGGACATTTGTGGGGCACGCCGGAGCCCCGCACGCTACCTCCCCAACACAGGTCCAGGCAACCAGCTTCAGAGCAAGCCCCACGCTGAACCTTGCATCTGCACCCTGCCTACAGCTCACCGGGTAGGAGATAGCCTCTGCCTCCACCAAAACACCATGAGGTTTCCAGGCAAATTCCCCAGCGCAGCACGCAGCACAGAGACCCCCAGAGCCTGGCAAGACCTGAAATCCCAGGGCAGGAAACTCCTTGGAAAACTTTCCTGGAAACCGCATTCACAAGAGCTCTCAGTCGGGCCCGGCACATCCAGAGCCCTTCCCTTGCACTCCAGCTCACCTCGAGCTCTCCTCGTACCCACTGACACTTCCCAGATAGGATAGGACTCAACCTGGCAGGGCTCTCAAAGGCTCCCTTCCCTTTTCCAATCCCGTAGCATCAACGTCCAGAGCGCCCGGTGCACAATCCTCCTGGCACCGCCCCGCTCCTGAACCACAGCGCTGCCCAGCGCGGGGAGCCCCTCGCACGCTTTCCCCTCGGGGGTTGCGGCATGTTTAGAAAGCCACGGTTTGGCCATGTCAGGGCGCTGCAAGGGAGAGATCCCCGTGCACACAGACAACACAGCCAGGTGCCAGCAGACTGCCCTGCTTGAAAGCAGAGCCCCAGCAAAGCTGCAAGCAAGGGGGATAATCTTCCCTCTCTCTGGAGAGGTTCCTCTAAGGGGTGAGCGTGTCCACGTCTGCATGCACTTCCCTTTCACCGAGTGTCTGTCTGCATGCAGCGAGGATCGCTGGCTTGGGGGTTGTCAATTAAATCTTGCAACACCCGATTCCCCGGCTCTGCTCTCCCATGAAGCAGAGGTGGTTAGGACATGACAAGCCCTTCTGCCCGGAGCGAGATATTCTGCAAGAACAGGGCCGAGCGTTTGCTTTGTGCTGTTTGGAAGCTCAGGGTTGAGAGGCTCCACGTCCCTTCCCGTGGCAGCCGGCGTGTAGCGCCGAGAGCAGAGATCTGCCCTTCACCTTCCAGGCCCGCGCTCACAAAGGACCGGTCAGATGACGGGGAGCAACTTTGGTGGTCGCAGCTCAGACTCTGGTGGCCAAGGCTGTAATCTGGCCTGGGCAGCAGTGGCTGGGCAGGACCCAGGCCGCGCGGGGACTGAATCACCTCCAAGTTAATCGAGGTTAATAGTAGGATCATGTTGGTCGGTTTGTGCTGTGGCTGCCTAAAAAAGAGACTACTTCAGTTTCTGGTATTTCTGGTATTTCCAGTCCTGAACCTTCACAAGCACAAATCTTCACCCCTACGACAAGGGAAGGAAAGTTAAATAAGGAGCTGAGGCTGAGCTGGGGAAGGCTGGGGCCTGCGAGCCCTGGCGCTTCGGGGGAGAGCAAGGGTCACGTCAGGGAGCTGCTCTGCTTCACTACAAGAGGAGGAACGGGCCAGAACGGAGACGCCTCCACTTGTACCTCGCTTCTCCTCAGCCTCTTCTGCTCAGCCCCCTCGCAGGCACGAGCAGAGACCCACCAAGCAAGGGGGGAAGGCGCCGATGGGACGCCTACCGCCCGCCACTGCAGAACCCGCCCGCTTCACGCCAGAACAACGGGGCCTGGAAACCCACGCCAGGCGGGCAGCCGCCGGGAGAGCCTCCCGCAGCCCTGGACCGTCGCCACCTCCGGCGCGGCCGTCTGGTTCGCGTAGAGCCCGCGGGCAGCCGGGACGCAGGCAGCCGAGGGCAGCTCGAGCCATGCAGCATTTCACAAGGCCTAATGATGGGGCTGTAGCTGGGCGGAGGGAAGTGGCCCTGGCACGGGAGCGCGGGGAGCGACAGTGTCCTACTGCGTCTGGGCGGCAGAGGGCACGCGGACGGCTCCCTCGCTCCCCGCCAGGCCCTGCCTGCAGCTGCTCCCTGGCTTGCTGGGTACGAGACCAGAGAGATAACGCGCCCTGCTGCCTCTGCAGCCTCGGGAGGCACGAGGGGAAGCCTGAGGGCGTAGCCCGATGCAGGCTGGACCACGAGGCTCCGCGAGCAGCTTTATGAGTCCAATGCAAAAGCAACACACCCCAAAACAGCGCTCTGCCCAGAGCATGCCCAGCCCTCTCCACCATGCCCAGGTGCAGAGGGCCCCACGGGAAGTGGCCGCAGGCCGGGCCCCGTGGCGTGGACTAGTGAGACAAGGGTTCAGCACAAACGGACGTGGCAGGAGCCCAGGAACAACCCCAGGGAGCCCCTGGTTCAGAGCAGGGGAGGCGCTGCAGGCGCTCAGCCCCCACCGCTGTGGGCCCTGGCTGCCAGCAGGCACAGACCGAGCTCCTCAGTCGTGTGTCCAACCCGCACCGCCTCACCACAGACCCCAGGAAAGCAGCCTTTCCTTTTGCACCTTTCCTTTGGGACATGTCAGAGCTCCTGTTCTACAAGACGGGGAGCAGCAGGGCTCGCGGCTGGGCTGGGGGGGCAGCGCCATGCACTCGCCTCGCTCACGGAGCCGCTCTGACTGCCCCCCATGCAGGCAGGTAGGCACAGGCAGGAGACAGCTTCTTGCCTAAAGATCGGACTCCTAACCTGCGTTTCTGCGGTGGCCCAAGCTTGTGACCTCCCGCAGACCAACGGCTGCAAGTTGCAGCAAAGGACGTTTAGGCTGGAGATCAGGAAACACTTCTTCACTGTCAGTGCAGGGAGGTCGTGGGAGAGACGCCAGGGAAGGGGGGACTCTCCATCGCTGGAGGGCCCAAGGAGAGGCTGGATGGGCACTGGTGGGCGATGATCTGGATGCGGCAATGCCTGTGCTCTGCTATGGGGATGTCCCAGGCTTGTGGGTGGTGCTGGTTGCCCCCTCCCCATTTCTGCTCCATGTGTCAGGAGGGTTTTAAGCCTCCCCCAGAGGCGCTGGTGCTGCTGCAGCCCAGGCTGGGGATGGGGCTGGGCTGTGCCAGTGCTCCTGCTGCGCCCACCCCGCAGGGTCCTGGCTGGAGGGTCTCGCCCCTGCACTCAAGCTCAGACCTATGCTACATTTGGGGTCAGGAAGGGATTTTCCCCTCCACGTCAGATTGGTATGGACTTGTGGGGGTTTTGCATTTTGGAGCAGGGGCACGGGCTCTGCCTGGGATCTCGAGCGTACGTTTGACAACACTGCAGAGAAGCAGGACGCTGGCTGCCGTGGGCCCCCTGCTTCCCTGTGCCAGTCAGGTGTGATGCCCGCGTCGTGTCAGGGCTGAGGGCAGAGTTGAGACGACGGATCGTGTAGGAGGGTTTGGACAGGGCTGACCCTGCCTCAGGCAGGGGCTGGGCAAGCTGTGACCCCTGGAGCTCCCGCCCAGCCCCGCTGCTCTAGGATTCAATGACTTGGCAGGGTGATGCCTCCCTTCAGCAGGGCCGGCGTCTCTCACCTTGCGTGACCACCTTGCCGAAGACGGGCAGGGCGTCCAGCGTGGAGCAGTTCCAGCGCCGGTTGCGGAACTGGAACTGGCACTCCTCGATGGCCAGCTGCGCGCCCCGGCGCACCGAGTCCATCACCTCCAGGTTCCTCTTGCACATCTGCACCTGGCGCTGGATCAACCCTTTCAGCTTTTCACAGGTCTCTTCCTCCGAAATACTCCCCACGGAAGACAGCTTGGCCAGGTACCTGTGAGGACACCCACCAAAATCTGTTAGCATGTTTTGCTGGGGAACTGGATGGGAGCGGGGGGGACACCTGTCCCAGCCTTTCCACGGGTCACGCCAGGACAGTGGCAGGGGTCCCGGGGATAACTGTTTCGAGCCCTGGGATTTGGAGCGCACATTACTATGGCAGTCGCACCCCCCCAGCCCTCTTCAGCAGCAGGAAGAGAGGGAGACGTCCCTCCTCCTGGCTGCGGCTCAGGCCCTGGCCATCCCTGACTGGCCTAACGTGGCTGCAAAAGGTTTTTGGACCTCCGAGGGCCTGGGCACGGCACGGTTCCCAGGGAGACCTGTGCCCCGTGCACGATGGAGAGCTTGGTCCACGCTCACCCGGCACCCAGGGAGGCTGCTAACTGCCCTTGCTGCCTCCGTCGCGCGGAGGAGCAGACTCGGCGTGTCGAATATGCCCCGTCAGGCCTCCCGAGCGCCAGCATGTCCAAGTGCTACTAGGAACAGCCAGAGGTCTCTGAAGTCAGCCAAAGTAAGCAAGGCAGCAGCTTGGCTGCCAGCTCCAGCTGCCACACGGCTCCCTCAGCGCCGCTGTGTTCGAATCGCCAGAAAACATCTCCCTCAAAACCACTTCCCTCCCCAGGCCTGCTTTTAGCTCCCCCAGCCACCCTTGCACCGGGACCGGCCCTGGCTGGCGGCGAGAGGGAGCTCCAGCTGGGAGCCTGGAGCCAGGAGCCGGTCGTGAGCAAAACCACTCGAGACTGGCACCTTCTCCAGGGTCTCCGCTCACAAACACGGACTCCAGGTCTCGCCGCCCTGAAAAATGCTGCCTTTGCTTCCCTCTGCACCCTGGCGACCACACGCCGAACTGTCTGGATGCCGCGCCAGCTCCCCGCCCGGGCAGGGAATATGCTGAGCCGGGCTCGGGGGGGTCTCTCTTGACCATGGCATGGGCACGGGCATTTCTCTCCCCACAGCTGGGGCTTCCGGCAAGCTGTCCTCCGGCCAAGCTGCCCGCTCAACCCGCTTCCCAACTCAGGGCAGGGACCGGCGTTGCTCCCAGGCGCCACGCGGGACAGGAGGGATGCCTTGCATCCCCATCTGACCACGGGGCTTCAGCTGCCCTCTAAGCAGACCTGCCAGGGGGTCTCCCCACGGGGCGGCAGGACTGATCCAAAGCCAGGAGTCTGCCCTCTGCCTCCAGCGTGGCACCTGCCCATCCCCGCCAAGGTCACGTCTGCCAGGGGGATGCTACGCCCTCTTCCCATGACCCCGTCCTCCCTCCGCCAGGCTCTTTCAGAGGCACCGGTACAACATTTACGCAGGTCCCTGGATCATCCCAGGCCCTCGACACCTGTCTGAGCTGGTAACATCCCAGCCGACCCTCCCTCGGGCAGCACAAGACGGAGTTCAACACCCTCCGCCCTGCTGCGGCATGACGCGGGGGAGATGCTCAGCCAGCAGAGCCACGAGCTGCCTCCGAGGGCTGGGAGTCCCCGCAGGCTGGTCGAGTCCCAAACACGTCCCACACCAAGCTGGCATGACAGCGGCTGCCATCACCCCCGAGCAGCGCAGCCCAAAGCTCCACCACGCGGCACCACATCGCCTAAAAATCTGCAGAAAGGGCGGGCACGGTCTAGGCAGGGGCCCACTGGGAGCCAGCGATGCAACCCCCCCCAGCAATTCAAGGGCTGAGCTGAGGATGCCCGGCACCCCTCGCCCCTGAATTTCCTAATGATCAGAATCCAAAAGCTTCTTTTTTTCCTTTTGTTCTCCGGGGACGACTGCTTGTGGAGGATTTCTCTCTCAAAGTGCAGCCTGGCTCTCCTCCCACGGGCTAAGGAGTCGAACTTGCCACCTTCAGCTAAACCCCCCCCCAAAAAGCAGTTTTTGCCGCTTCCCACAGCCATCAGCCCTGCACAACCCACCCAGCACAGAGGAAGGGATTTGTTCTCTCCTGGGCATCGGGACTCCAGACAGCAGCGCTCGTGCAAAGTCCCGGCTGTGACAGGGATGCATGCGTGCCCCCAGAGGCAGACGATGACCCATCGAACCCCAGGGCTCGATATGCAGCCGCTCGGGTACACGTGCCACGTATTCAGAACGGGTTTACAGCAAGTACTCGCGTGTCTAGAGCAGCTCCAGGACTCCTGGACACGCACTGGGAGCTGCACAGAGGCCAAGCCCCAGGTTGCCATCTTTCAGTCAGGGGAAAAGCAAAGCGAGCGCCACCAAAGCCCCGCGCCCGTCAGACCGGGGTCCTCGGGGATCTCAGTTACTGGCAGGGAGAGTAATGCCCATGCAGTGCTGTTCTGTGCTCCTCTGTGATGCAGGCAGCAAAAACAGATCAACATCTGGGTAGTATTTTATCACAAAAGCCTCTGGAGAGATGCTTTACTGATGCACCTTGCCAGCCCTGCCCTCATCCAGGTTCAATAATTGCCACCCGTTTTACAGGGGGGGCGGAAATCGAAGCACAGTAAAGTCAAGACACGTGCACATTCCCTTATGTGATGGGACCAAGAGTCGGGAAAACTGGGCACTAACCCCAGCTCCGGCTCTTGAAACGGAGATGGCAGGATTCACAACCTTAAGGCGGAGAAGGACACCGCCGGGGGCACTGAAGGGCAGGGGGAACGCGGGCAACTTCAACCGTGCCCATGAAAACAGCATTTGAGGCATCTCTTGCTGGCTCAGAGGAAGTCCCTTAATTTACAGTTCCCAGAACTGCGCAGCCAGCCCCGGTGCTGAGCGAGGAGATAGTCTGAGAAAGCCGCGTTGGCCGGGAAGACGATGCCGCAGGTGAAGCAGCTGCGAGAGGCAGCCGGGCATTCGGCGTGTGGGGAAACGTCTTGGCAAGGGGGTGCCTGAGCAGTTTTCTCCATTCCAGGACGCTTTCCAGCCCTGCACAATACTCCAGGCAACGGGGCTCAGACAGTCCAAGAAGTACATGAAAAGAAGCGTGACGGGGCCCTTTCAAACCTTTCCAAGCAGATGCTCCAGATAAGAGGGTTCCCAAATAAACGTTTATTGCTCTTTAAGAAGATGAAATGAAGATAGTGTTTCAGCGGTGGGGACAGTTCTCCGGTAACTGGCTGCGCAGCGTACATGGCCAGAGGAAGCTGTCCAGAAAGCTTGTAGCGACTCCGTCCCATGGAGCAGGCAAGCCGTGCGCCTCTTCTCCACCTCCACCTGCCCCCGCACCGAGACCTTGCACTGTTCACACTTGGCCTCCCCACGGCCCTCGCCCCTCGCCCCAGCAAGAGCACATCATAAGCATGAATGCATGCTGCTAATGGCCCAGGTAGGCTGCTCCCATCAGCTAGGCTTGGGGTTTTGGGGGGCAGAGGTAGGAGAGGGGGTGCGGGCTTGGAAGGGGGTGGGACGGGGGAAGTAGGCCGAGCTTTCTTATATCTGGATG